TAATAGTCTACAAAGTGCCATGCAAGCCCTATAACTCAGGGTGAGCAGTCATGAAGTGCATAAAATTGTTTCCCATTTCTGAATGGAAAAACCAGAGGCTTCAGGCAAGATGAATAAGCATGGGCTCAGATACCCCAATCTGTAACGTCTGGAAGCCAGGCTGCAATGATATATGGATGTTCCAGGCTGGTTCATACGCTTGCAATAAATATATTAGAGCCTCATAAACTTGTGGAAAGTTACTCATAGATACATGAATAAGAAGAAGAGAAAAATTTGCAATACGGACCTTTCCTCTCTTCTTCAGAAATGGCTATCTCTGTGAGACACAGCAAGAACTGAAGGTTCATGGCCTGGGGCCAGTTACTTCAGAGAAGTATTGGCAGAACCAATGAAACCTGAGCAAATCAGCTTAGCTTTATATCTGCCTTAAAACACAATGAAGTTTGGTACAAGGGAAGGCTGTTTACTCCATAACCTTTCATCTCTTTCAAATCAGACCTAATTTATTCTAATAGCCACTCATTTAATGGAATTTAATGAGCAAGGGGAGATCACTACAGAAGGGTATTTCTATACTGAATTCAAATTTAGAAGGAAAGTTGCCAGGGTGTCTCTCTCTTTGCCTCTCCCCCGACTCTCTCGTGTGCACATACACACACAAAAATGCAAAGAAGCACCAGTTTCTCCTTTGTACAAAGGCACAATAGGGAAGGGAGGAATGGCAAATCTTTTTCTTTTTGTGACTGTAGTGCATAGGAATAGGGTTGTATTCCTTTAAATACCTTGTGAGTCCTCTTGTGGCACTCATTGTGTCCTGTGTTTTTGAACATGCCAAAATCCAACTAATGTAGCAGTGTGTGTTGTGTGGGTAGCTAGGCCTGGCATGCTGGGAATGGTTATTTGGCCTTCACTGTGTCTACATAGTCTCTTTGCAGTAGTTGCACAGAACAAAAGACTAAATTAGTCATGAATCATACTTTTCTGTTTATAACTCTTGTCAACTTCATGTGTAGGGTCAGGTTTGTAAAAGTTCACTAAGTGATTTAGGAGCATAAGTGTCACTAAGAGTCATGGGCATTGAGAACTTGACTCTTACCTCCTCAGCCCTGGCAGAGACTGGTGTCTTTATTGCTTAGCATGCAGTTTGCAACCATAACTCCCACTATTTGAAGGACTGATAAAAGAAGAGTATAACAGAGTTGGATGTAGCCTCTTAGGCACTGCATTGAGAAGGGGACATAATAGGCCAGAGTATGATCTCATCTATTCCAATTTTACACCGGTCTAACTTCACTGGAGTTACTCTGAATTTACAACAGTGTAAGGAAGACCCAGCCTGGCTAATACCTTGCTGATATGAGGCCAGTGTAGGATATGCTATGAGACCCTTCTAGGAACTGTATGACAGCCTGCTAAAATATTGTTGCACAGAATCAGAGGCATGCCTTCAGCGGGCAGTGTTGAGGCACCTGCGTTCCAGTGAGTGATGCAAAATGGCCTTGCATCGCTTGCTACAAAACACAGAAAGTGCCAGAGGTGTTACAGTTTCTGTCTCCCTTGGCAAGATCTGTAACCATTAGACTCTGAGGCAGAGGGTGGATGGCCAGGGTACTACCTCCTCCTTGGCTACCTCAACAGGTGAGACTAGCTTTTGTGAAACTCACCTGTCATCAGAAACCCATGAGGTAGCATCTCAGAAAGGAGTGTAGGTGCCTTGAATGGAGGCACTTGTGGATAGCTCCTGAGATGGGTTGGAGTTCAGACACATCCCTGTGATCTCACGGTTCCCATTGCCTACCTCCAGACTTCTGAATTGCCCTTTGGAGCTGCCTGCAGCTCCCCAGCCTCTATGCTGAGCACCTATGTGCCTCTACCAAACTGTTCTTAGGCATCTCCAAAGTCTTTCATTGACTGAACAGGGATCCCAGGTGCCAAATCATGTCATTTTGAATCATCCTGAGGCAGGCACCCAAATGTTAGATTTAGGCAACACCTATGCTGAGGCATGCCTTGCTCTTTTTCCTGGAAGTCTGCAGATGTACCGTGTGATACTGTGTGGTCAGATCATGCAAGCAGGAGGCAGGACACACTGGTCCAGTGCTTGGAAGAACGACTTTGGAGGAACTCCTGCCAGGGCTAAGGGATCTTTGTGGAATCCAGCTCTCAAGAGACAACTATATTCCAGGCCCAGCTGTGCCATGGGGAACAAAGTGCACGTGCAGGCTACCACAGGTCACCAATAAGGTTAGGAGGCAGCCTGGGATCAAGAGATTCTGTTCTTGGCTGCTGGGTGATCATAATTGTGTCCCTTCACTTCCATGGGCCTCCATCTTCCATCTGTAAAATGGGACTACTGGGACTCACCACCACAGTAAATTGTTTAGCGATCTGTGGAAGGAAAGTGCCTGACAAGAACCAGATATTGTCATGATAGTAACAAGACAGCTTGGTGCAAATGCCAGGCAGCTGAGGCTGATCATGCTGCTGATCTTACCTGTTTTGTGTCTGCTAAACCCTCTCCTTTCCAGCTTTCTGGGGTGGGAGGCAGTGTCTTCCTCCCAGGCCACTCAGTATTATCGACATAACAAGTGAGACTAACCAAGAAAGGCAGCAACCTGGACAAGGACATTGTTGTTCCTCATTTGGGAAAGTAAACTACCCATGCAATTAATTCCAGCTTGAAGGACTGGAGGCGCTTGATAGGCCTCTGTACAAGCATGGCCTGGTTCCTTTTTAAATGAGAGGCCATTTCTTCCCCAAAGCCCATGGACAGGCCAGGCTCCATGTCCAGTCTACACTGGACATGTCTGGAAGCCATTACTGGCCTTTTCTGTTTTCCTCTGCTTCTTCTAGCTTATGTTCTTTCAAGGAGGGAGGTCTTGAAAGCTTTTGAATTATTCCACTGGCTAGTGGTGCCATTCAGCAAGGGATAAATGCAGAGCTTCACAGAGGCCACAAGGGTCTTTTAGCTACTATGAGTCAACTGGATAAAAATTCCTGGACCTTTAATTCACATTAGGGACATCTCTAAATTTTGGCAGATGAAAAAGAAAGCTGTTGCTTTTCCACTGGGCTCCCTTTGTTTGTACTTATTTCCCCCTCATAGTATCTGGTAATCCAGACACTGGTGGTTGGATTCTGGTCTCACGCTGGTGTACATCAGGAGTAATTCCCATGGAAGTCAAGGAAGAGTCCCTGGTATAAATCTGGTGTGAGACTAAAATAAGGCTGCCTCAGTCTCCTTGAGACCCAGCCACTACTACAGGGACAGATGCCAGGCCACGTGGGCTATGCCAGCCACACCAAATGTCACCTGTAGGCTCAGTGGAAACTCCAGACTGACCAGGGGAACGGGACCTGCATAGCCCAACTATACTGGGGTTTCGGCAATAACTACGTGCTGCAAGTGCACTGACCAGCTGCACAGCTCTGCTCTCCACTGGACAAAGGAGAGACTAGTTTAGGTGCGTAAGTGTAGCTCTGGGGGAGACTTCATTACGTCTCTGCATAGACACTTTGTTTTTTACAGCTGAACCCTGGAGGGTCAGTCCTGAGTTGCAATACCAGACATCACTGCTAGCCGCTGGTGGGTGCCAAGCTAGCTCCGTAGCTTGGCCCAGAGCCCCACTACAGAGCACTGCATGCAGGGGGATTTGGCTGAACTGTTGTGTGAAGTTCCCCACCCCCGTTGCATTCCTCAATACTTTTGTAGGGTTACCGTGTAACATTTTCCACATGATACCTCCAAAGCAGATATTTCAAAGGCTTTACAAATACTCTTTGACTACATGTTGCCCCCAGCAGGAAGGAAGAAGGCCTGGATCTCTGTCTCCAATTTTTAAAATGGGGAAATGACTGTCATGATGTTACCCACTTGCAGTAACAGCAATTTCTGAAAACCATAGCAATAAATATACCAAATCCTTTTTAATAGGCATAGCATTTTAAATCTGGATTAAACAATAGAGAGATGAATGGCCAAAAAAAGCCTATTGTAAAATGCTCTTGAACACCAAAAAAATTCTGATTTAAATCACTTCTGCATGGTAAAGAAACCACAGCTGGGTTAGGGTTGGAGTGAGGAGCTTAAGATTAATTCTTCATCAACCTGGAGAAAAGAAACCATTCAAAATGTGTTTACAATGTGAAAAAATGCATGAAAGCCACTGCACACTTTACCACAAGATTTCCAAGTAGTTATTTCTCAAACTCAGTGAGTAAAACTCTAGAGCCCTGTTTCTGAGCCAAGCGTTACGTCTGAAAGTTGCACCATATAATCACTGCAGGTGTGGGTGTGATCTTGTAACCAATACACCATACAAAGTCTAGTGTGAATGCCGTTATCCCAATATAAATGGGTACCATGCTGGTATAGAATATTTCTTCCCCAATCCTGGAATCACTAGCTGGAAATAAGCATTTTTACAATGATATTATAAAATCATAGAAGCCAAGAGAAGTGGGCCTGAAAAGGACCTCCAGAGGTCATCTAGCCCTAAACCCTGCCTGAGGCTCATCCCTATCCACGCCATCCTGTATGAATCCATTGTCTCTAACCTATTAGCAACCACTAACACTAATATATTCCACCCACACTGTGGAGAAGCTGTAGCCATAGAGTAGTACAATTTGTGCGTAGGCAATGCCTGTTTTCCCTTCCGTGTGGTAGGCTTCGGCTGCAGGGCTATGGGTGGAGACTGCTGTATATGAAGGCATTTCCCAGTGCTTCTGGATACGCGCATCAGTTCCAGTGGCCTTTTTGTCAGAACAGGCCCATGGGTCAATCTCATTGCAACATCTTTAACGAGAGAGCTCCTTCCACCGGCCTCTGCCCCTGCTCCCTCCAAAATAAGTGACAGAAGATTTTTTTTTTCACTTGGGAAATAAAAAGCCGAAGGGACAGAACACCCCCAAAAAGGAACTAGTGACTCAGATGCTGGGAAGCCCAGGGCCCCAAGGGATTCTGCATCTCATGGTGCTGAGCCTTAATGACTTACAGAGACTGGAGGTTTGGAAGATCCCTCAGTGCCTCTGCAGGGATCCGTCTGAGCTGGTTGTTCTGCAGCATCCTATAATTAAAAAAGAGAAAACTTAAAAAAAACCCAACAACAACACAATGAAGTTATTTTCCCTCCCTGATGCTGTCTTGGAAAGCACCACAAAGCCTCACATTTAAAGGGAAACCCTCCCAAAGGCTGGAGGGGATGGAAGTGACATTCCGGTCGCCAAGGGTCCCCTAAACGTAAGCTTGTGGGTTGCAAGTGGGTGGTCTGGAATCCAGGCTGAGATTAGTATATAACATGTTCAAGGGCTCTGCAGCATAGAGGCCCCTGGGGAGAGTGAGGTGGTATCTGCTGGGAGAGTCTGAGGCAGGCACAAGGGTGGATATGATATTACAGGGTGTGTCTACACAGGATGCTTTACTGTGCATTAGATTAACCTACTGCATAATAGACTGTCACTGTATGCAGCAATTATTGTGCAGTAGATTAATCTAATGTGCTGTTTTCTAGTACCTGTAGATACAGGTACTAGAAATCAGTGCATTGAACTAATGTGCTGAAGCACACGTGTAGACGCTTACTGGGAGCAAATTGCTCCCAGTCAGCCTTGGCAGCAGAGGGCCACAGGGTGGGGAGAGCTGTCCCAGCTCACAGGATGTTGTCTGCTAGCCACGTGGAGATCAGGACTCATCTTGATTTCCACGTGGCTGGGAGAGCTGTCCCAGCTGCTGGGCAGCTGCCTGCCAGCCATATGGAGATTGGGACCCATTCCAGTCTCCACATGGCTGGGAGGCAGCTGCCCGACAGCTGGGAAAGCTGTCTCCCTCCTCACAGAGATCAGGACCAGCCCCTGTGCCTGCTACCAGCCTGGGGCTGGCCCCAGGGGAGTCTGAAGCTTTCCTTGACTACTGCAGGGGGGAAGAACAGGGCAGGAGCAGCCCTAGACTGAACTGTTCCCATTGGGAACAAATTTCCTCCCAACGGGCACACATTCAGATGTGTACAGGGGCACATTAACTGCATGTGTAGAAGCACTCGCAGGGTTTCTTTCCAGTCCCTAGACTTTAAGATGGAGGGATCTGGCCCTACTGTTTTGGGGATGGTAATGTGCATCCTATGAACAGCACAGAAAGAGGGGGGCTGGAACAGTCTTAGGCCAAATCCCAGCTTTCCATCTTCGTTGTTTTATTTGGCTGCTAGTGTTTTAAAAATAAAAAGACTCCACATGCTACCAATAATTCTTGGTTCCCCAACACTGCTTTAGAATACATGATCTTCCAGCTCTTTACCAAGGGAGGTCAGTAGCATCACTCCTGTTTGCAGATGGGGAAACTGCTCCAGTGGGTGGACTCCAGAATTCAGCAGAGGTTTCCAGACTTGCACTGATGAAAGATCTGCCCCGGTGTAGCTCTGTATCCAGGCCAGATTCTATTGTACTTATTATGTCAGTTGACTTAGGTGCCTAATTGTAATTCTATTCTACCCTGCTTGATCCCCTGAAAAACTGCTAATGCAAAGGGTGGGTGGGTCCTCCTGCTTGCTTCTTCTTTGTGACTCAGTCTTACGGAAAGAGGATGGCACGTTACCAAAGTAGATGCATTAATGGATTTTCAGGGACTTGAGCACAGTCAAATAATCACACTTAGGCTTGCAAGCCTACCTAGAAGCCAAATAGATGGAATAGGATCTGTCCCTTTGTCTTTTAATGGCCTGGCTGTAAAGGGGTCTGTTTTCCTTTCTTTAGTGCATCATAAAAATGATGCTGTCCTATAGGAATGTGCTTTGTGTGCAGAAGGGTATTGGTTGTAGCAGTGTTGGACAGACTCTCCTTATAGCTGAAGAAGGGTGTTTGTGCATGAAAGCTTGCAAAGAACATTTTTTCCAACTGTTCAGTTGGTCTAATAAAAAATATCACATCAACCCAAAGAACCTTGTCTGGCTATGTGTGCAGAGGTGTATGTGTGCTATGTGTATGTCCTGTGTGTGTGTCGGTGTGCACAGCTGGAGGGCAGTTCGGCTGCTGGGAACTGGCACACTCATTACCCCTCTCCTCAGTGTGGACTCCACCTTTCCCACTCTTAATCCCACAGGGACGGGTGCACCTCTCCCTCTCGCATGCTCAGTTTCCCACCTTCAGGCCTCTCCCTGGCTTTCCCAGTTTTATTCCTTGGGCATGGTGCACACCCGGTATAGTGCAGATCACAGCCACGACACATCATTTCTGATCTCCCTGCTTTGAAGTCCCAACTGCTGCGGTCACAATGGGTCACACTACACATCCTCAGCAGGCTCCCTGAGTCCAGATTATGCTCATTTTAAGCAGCAAGCCCTGGAAAAAGACAGGGAGCTGTCTGAGGACACCTTCAGTAACCCCAGCTGGCATAGCAGCAGCTGAGAACAGAATCTGAGCCCTTTGTGCTCAGCAAACCAAGAAGATGGTCAGGAGAGGGATGAAGAATGCAGCAAGGAACAATCAAGAGAAGCAGGAAGGAAATGGAGAGAGTGCGGGGCGCTGTATAGGGCAGGCAGGCCTCTCATGTAGAGCAATGGTTCTTATTACAGCCTGCAGTGTAAAGGATGCTGTTTACACCGGGTGCTGACTGCCAGCTCTGCTGCTCTAAGTAAACAGCATGGTAGGCCAGTGCTGGGCATTTGCATTTACACAAGGACATGCCAGAGAGAGGACAGAGAAAAAAACAACCAACTCCATCTGTAAGAGAGACAAGTGGCACAAACTTTTCAAAGCCCCACCAAGAGGAGGAGTGGACATGGATGACGAGGAGCACAGCAACACAACCAAACCTGGAGACAGAGACGATGACAGCAGTAGCAGAAGTGACAGCAACAGTGACAACAACAAGGGCAATGAATGAACTGAGAATGTAAAACCCAAAATAGGGAGGAGGACTAAGAGACTTTTTCTGAATTAGGGAAAAGTCTGTGAATGGGAGCTCAGGTGAGTTTACTGTAACAGGTGCGTGAGATTTAAAACTGTTGTAAGGTGTGTGAAGTAAAGCTTATGGTAGATATATAACCATATATAGAGAAATATATTAAAAAAAAAAGCAGGAAGCACAGGCACTCACAGCCACAGGCCTTACACCTGCCTTCTGCTAGGCTTAAAGCAGAGTGAGTGCAGGATGGGACACATGCCACTGAGCATCCCTAGCCAAACCTGTGCCAGTGCAGATTCCCTTGCACCCCATCCCTATCAGGGTGAGTCCCAATGCCCACAAGAACGAGGGGCCAGATTTTGGCCCCTGGCTCCTATGTGCCATCCCCAGTAGAAGCAACACTGGGGGAGTGCATAGCTACGTTAGCAGGCTGCAGAGAGGTCTGGAGCAGGAGAGGCTGAGAGCAACAGCCTCAACCTGAACAGCATCTTTCAGACTGCTGGAGCTGAGGCATCTCTGTGTCTCAGCCTATGCCAGACTAGATCCCAGGGAACAGAGCCCCTATTCCTCAGCTGAGTGTGAAATGGGAGCCAAAGGTACCAACAGGCAGATAGCTCCATGATATGCTATTGGAATTACACCCCTGTGTAGCTTAATTGATGTGAACCCTTCCTGGCAAGGAGCAGCTCCTGGTACCTGTGCTTCAAGCCAGGTCCCTCTGCAATCTGTTCTCTAGAATGCCCCAGCATGCCACAAAGCACCATTGTGTGGGACACAAGCCCCAAAACACAGGTCCGGGCAAAACCACAGTGAGGTTCTGCCTTAGAGCTGGCAACTCATTAGAAATCCCGGCTTTGTAGGTCTGAATTTCCAACTGAATTAGGAGCATGAGAAATGTGGCGGGATGGGGAAGGGGGGAATCCCAGATGTGTGTGGTGCAGAACTACACAAATGATCTGGCACACAGAGAGCATCCTTCCCATCCCAGGAGAGCCTGATTTTCTGGGAAGAGGAGGGCACAGCTTCTGGAATCTCTTTTATCCTGATGTGGGTGCTCCAGTCACTACTATGCATATTTCGCTTCAGGAAAAACAGCCCTTAAATGGTAACAGCCTCCCCAGTCCAGAAATACTTCATTGTGCTCCAGCATGTACAACTGGGGGCAATAAATCTGCACAGAAACGATGGCTTGTGCAATAATTCTAGTGCAATGGGACATCAGCAAAGCCCTGGCTGACACTCCCTTCTTGTGAAGGGAGAGTTGGTGAGCTCAGCATTTTCCTGGTCATTTGGATAAGCTCTCTTCTAGGCCTTTGCAGCCATTTACATGATACCCTGAAGCAAACCTCCCTGTTCTGTTGCCTTTGCACATTGAAGATTCAATCTGCTCAGTTCCACGCTTGATGCAAGCTCTTTCCCCTGAATGGGACCATCCTTCTCTCATGGCGCTGCCATCCAGAACTGGGCAGGGGCTCCCTTAGGTCCTGCAAATGCCCACCTGTCTTAGGGCTGCTGGCAGGAGCTGTCTGTCCTCCTAGACTCAAAGGCACACAGGACAGTTCAGAGATGGCCCTGGCCAAGTGGGCCTTGTACTTGACCAGGAAAGAGGCTCTGGCCAGGAAGGTGCCCGGGGACTGCGAGGCCACTTTCCTTTCACTCGTCCGTGCACGTTTCCGGGCAGAGCACCAGTGGGTGGCATCCGCCAGCTCCTTGGATGCCTCTGAGTGCCAGTGGCTGCAGCCTGGGGGACTCTGCTCAGTTTTCCCTGCAGGCACACTTATTTTCATGTTTTGACCCTTTGACCCACATGACACTCCTATCCTGTTTTTTTCATTAGTTGTCCCAAGAATTTAGTTGTTCCATTCATCCTTTAGCCCCCATAAAAGAGGGCTACTAGTTAGCCAGGTGGGCCTTGCCCATGGTAATAGGATGGACAAATAGACAGGACAGTTTAGAGAGGACCCAATCTCTAAAGCAGTGGTTCTCAACCTTTTTTAGACTTAAGGTCCTCGGTCGACTCAAAGCATCCCTTGGAAAATGCTGGTGCTTAGCTCTCACTTGTTTTTTGAGTACAGAAAAATAACAGCATTTTCCAGAAAAAACTCAGAAAATCAACAACATTTCATTGTTCTCCTGCAGCATGCTGGCTATGCATTACTGCACTAAGGGCAT